ACACACACACACACACACACACACACACACACACACACACACACACACACAAGTGTTATCTCGTTTCCCAGTTTTGGATATTAGGGAACACGTCTATGAGTCTGGATATCAGGAAGAAGTGTTGGTGGGTGGTTGTCGGATGCTCTGGTGTGGTTTGCTCCTTCTTTCCTATCAAATATCTATCGTCCTGATCTCTCCTCCTTCATTTTTGCGGGTGTTACTCTCTTATAACACCTCTAATCTTCAGCACAAATGCCGTAAAATTCTTACTAAAACTATACCGAGGAATAATGTTTTGTTGCCCAGTCTTGGATATTATATTATAATAAGTCTCGGAGTCTAGATATAGGTATCAGAAAAAAATGATGTTCGTATCTGTCTGGATATCAGGAAGAAATGTTGTTTACCATAATATACTATAATGCAAGTCTATGAGGCTGGGTTTCAGAAAGAAATTTGTTTACAATGTATTATAATATAAGTCTACGAGTCCAGGTGTCAGGAAAATGAGAAATATTGTTTGTTCCTCCAGTGGTTCCCGCAGCGCAAAGGACTGGTGAACGGGCTGGTGGTGGCGGGGTTTGGTGGCGGGGCGTTTATCTTTGACCAGGTCCAGACGGCCTTCATCAATCCGGACAACTTCAAGCCGGACAAGGAAGTGGACGGGGAGAAGTGAGTGGTCAGTCGTATGCTGACAAAACGACCTTTTTTTCTTTTTTCCCAGCCTGCACAAAGAGATGGGTACCACATAAGCCCCATATGGCATCGCATATGGGCACCATCTGGTAATCCCGTACTGCGCCACGTGGTTTTTGCACTTTTGCACATGGGCGATTAAAGGGCCCATCTGTGTCCTCCCATGTCCCGCCCATATCCAGCCATGCCTAGCCCAGATGCAGCTCATATGTTTTTGACGAACCCACATGGGCCCCATGTCTGCCCCACTCGTTTTTACACACAAGACATGGGCATTGCGTGGTATACAGCCATGCCGAACAAAAACATCTAGTATGTTCAATTCTTTCCCATACCTGGCCCGGATGAAGCCTGAAGGTTCCTGGCAAGCCCACTTGGCCTCCATATCCAGCACACATGTTCCTGGCAAGCTCACATGGTCCCCATGTCCCCCAAGTCCAGCCCATATGTTCCCCATGTCCAGCCCACAAGGTCCCCATGTCCAGCCCACATGTTCCAGATAAGCCCATGTGGTCCCCACGTCTGCCCCACACATCTTTGTCCACAATATGTGGGTACTGCTTGGTACACAGCCGTACCAAACAGAAACATCTGGTCTGCTTGATTCTGACCCTGAGCCCTGATTGCTTGTCTCTGACAAAACCATGCTATACTCACATCCATCCCACCTGGGTGAGCTCAAAATGTATGGGCACTGTGCATTCTAGCTCAGGCCCAGTCCACATTTCTGACAAGCCCATGTTTTCCTCACTCACTGGAATAAAACCATGCAGAACCATATCTTGTATAAGAAGACACATTGTAATACTTGTTTTAAGCCTATATTCATTCAAATAATTTCTCTCAAGGTAATTCCAAACACTGTAAGGTATAATATCCCAGTAAAAATAGATAAAATGTAACACACACACGTCCCTACACGGGGGCCGATTCATTAGCATGAAATGAGGAACTCTCATACATTTCAGGCAGACAATATAAAATGTTCCCTTTGTGGAAAGAAAGGCATGTGTCCTGGAAATATACGTTAACCTATAAAGCCAGGTTATGGAAAGAACATAAAAAAATTAACCGCCTCGGAAAACTCTGCAATTGCAGTTTTATCTATTATTAAATTTATGATATAAATATTACAATAACGCACAGGACAAAGGAGAAGAGAAGAGAAAGAAAGAAAAAAGAAAGAAAGAAAAGAAAGAAATGCATTTTGGTAGATGTAATATCGAATACTATGTTTTAAAACAAAACAAATACATTGCAAACCAATTGATACTTAGACTTCTTTTGCTTTTAATTAGACCTAAAAAAAGCAATATATTATATTCCAGAAAAGAAACCAACAGATCTCTTGACAGTGACGTAATACATCTCTCTGATTCCGATCTTTGCAATGAAGAGGGGTGGTGGGTAACGTTCGTTTCACACGGGCCAATTCACGGAAAACACAGCCTCTGAAGAGGTTAGATAAATAAAAGACATGTACAGGGTGTTCTAAAAAAACCTTTACAACTTTTTTTCTGAATATCTGGCGCAAAAATTGTTGTAGAATGCTGTAATTTGGAACAGACATAATTCATTTAAAAGGAATTTGTTTGATATAAACTCCAAGAAGAAGAAACATGTATTGAAAACTGAAACGGCTAAAAGAAAAAAGCACCCCAAAACGCAAAGTTCACCAATGTTTAAAAATCTTGTAAAAGAAGTCGTGAAAAGATCAGTTGACTTTTTTCTTTGTTTTCTCTTTGACATTAACTTTCCATCTCTGTTACATTAAAAACATATTTAATTTCTTTTACAGGGTTTTAAAAACCTATTGATTTCATTCTGAAATTCCTTGAAGCAGTGCTCCACATTCTCTCCTTTAGACTCGACACATTTTTAACGCGTCGTTCGAAATGTTCAGTGGCGCCCTAACACAAGCACCTGCTAAACAATGAGTTTTTAAAGTCACATACACTGTACATGTTCACTAAGAAGTGGCTTCTAGAGACAATAGAGTGGGGTGCCTAATAGACAGCATTTTTGGAGTTAACATATCCCGCAGGGGGGAAATGGGCTTTGCACTAAACCAAATGTCATCGAGGAAATGATCCCTCTTTACAAGACAATCGAGGAGTCATGAACACATTGCCATGCTCTGATCCATGTCATCTCGGCCTAGTGAAGATGAACATGGTATAGTCGTAGATTAAGATCTGGCGCGAGAATGTAGACTGTTGATGTGTAGGAAAGTCCTAGCTGCAGATCGTCTACGGACAGACGTCTCATGGGACTCGGC